GGTATTTTGCTCACACTATTTTAGCTGGTATTTATAACTACCTTCTTCTGTTGTAAGAACTTTGTTCTTTTTTCAAGATATTTTTCAAGCCACTACCTCAATACTCACTACCACAAAAATCCTGTAGCCTGGGTAATTCCCGAGTTACCATCAGCAAAGCAAACATGAAGAAAAATGGACTCTCTTGGAGCCATATGGACCGAGACATACAAACAATGAATATATTTCTAATAATTTTTTCATTCTGCTCATCAGCAACTTTGGCTAAACTTGAGGGAAACGTGGTAACTCTCTTTCCCACATGACCCTCCTCAAGCCTGACCATCTCACCACAGTGGGTCATTTGCCTTGACATTAACTACCCTCCAGAAGCATTTTTGTATAATTGATAACCTTTAACACTTACCTCTGCTGGCTACAAAACCAAATGACTGTCATTTGTAACATGTAGTCTCATCAATTCTGACATTCTCTAAGGATTTGATTTCTGTAAGAGCCTAGTGACAAATGGCATTAGACAGAGAAAGTTTATGTAACAAGACAGCCATGACTGAGATCATGTTAAAAGCAGCCATTCTAAAAGCAAGAGTTTGTAAAAACAGCCTACCGATCAAAAGGCAGAATTAAAGACTTAACAGAAATCAAGGGAGTGGAATGTGAGCTGGGAGATATCTGGTGAAGGACAACCACTGATTTTAATTTGGGGACAGATATTGATACAGAAAATCCGGAGATATCGGCAAGCCATTGTAAGCAGGTAAGAGTCCTGTAAACATGGGCCCCTGTAAAGAACAAGAAGTACGAAGTTCAAGCTGGTGCTCTCCCATTGAAGCAACAGAGCAGTGGGATTGCTGGTCAACTCTATCCTCGAGCCTGGGGCAGCTGAGTGAGCAAGTGAATGTCCCCAGGGAGCATTCTAGCCATGGTGAGCATGGGGCACCTAACCTACACCCCTGCTAAAATGCACTAGAAAACTGGACAAGCATATATAAAATAATAATTTCCAAATACTAGACATTGACAGCATAAGAGTATGATTCCTGAAAGAAGGGAAAAAATATGAGCCCAACAGTTAGACAGAGAGCCCCTGTGGTGGTGGTGACACGGGTCCACAAATGTGATAAAATTCCATAGAATTACGTGTACCCCCATGAGTGCATGTAAAAACCGGTTAAATCCATGTAAAATCTGTAGCTGATATTGTTGTTATAATGTTGCCTGTTGCTTTTTCAGTTTTGATAAATGTGCTGTGGTTATGTAAGATGTCTCCCGGGAAGAAGGGTAAAGGGTACACAGGAACTCTCTGTAGTGAATGTGAAAATCTTATGTGAGTTAAAAGTTATTTCCAGGGGCACTTGGGCAGGGGGGGGGGGCTCAGTCGGTGAAGCACCGACTTTGGCTCAGGTCACAATCTCACAGTTTCATGGGTTCGAGCCCTGCGTCAGACTCTGCTGACGGCTAGGAGCCTGCTTCCGATCTGTGTCTTCTTCTCTCTCTGCCCCTCCCCCCCCTCAAAAATAAATAGACATAAAAATATTTTAAATTAGTTCCAAATAGGGGCGCCTGGGTTGCTTAGTCGGTTGAGCATCTGACTCTTGATTTCAGCTCAGGTCATGATCTCACAGTTTGTGAGATCAAGCCCCGCATTTGGCCCCACACTGGTGGTGGGGAGTCTGCCTGGGATTCTCCACGTTCCTCGCTCTCTGCCCCTCGCCCGCTCACTCTCTATCTTTCCCTCTCCCTCTCTCTCTACCCCTCCCTTGAACTCTCTCTCTCAAATAAAATGAAGTCCAAGCTAAAATTTTTAAAAAGTAGAGATTAAAGACTTTTTAGAGGAAGAAATATTGACCAAATTCATTACCGCCAGACTTTTACTATAAGAAATATCAAAGGAACTTCTTCAGGTAGAAGAAAAATGATGTTCGATGGGAGTTTTCATGTGCAAAAATGAATGAGAGCATTAAAAATGGAAAACACACGATTAAATATGAAATCATTATTATAATATCATTAAAAGTTGATTGCTTAAAACAAAGGCAGTAAAAGTGAAAGTGAGTTTATATTAGTTACTTGTTGATGCATAAATCATTACACTAAACGCTTGGCTTAAAATAACAAACGTTTGTTATCTCACAGTTACTGAATGTCAGGAATTTGCGAGTGGCTCTGTTGAGTGATTCTGCTTCAGAACGTCGCATGAAATTGTGGTCAGGATGACAGAGGACGCCATTGTCTGGAGGCTTGGTGGGCTGGATGATCTGCTTCCAAGATGGCACCTTCCCACCGCTGTTGGAAGCCACCTCAGGACTCGCTGGATGTTGGCAGGAAGCTTCAGTTCCTCTCCACATGGACCTTTCCACGTGGGCAGCTTGAGGGTCCATCCAATATGGCAGCTGGCCCCTCTCAGAGTGAGTTATCCAAGAGAGAAAGCAAAACAGAGACTACAATGCCTTTTACGAGCTGGTCTCAGAAGTCACACACTGTCTGATATTCTAATCTCTACAATAAAGTCACTAAGTCCAGGGCATGCTCAAGGGAGGTGGCTTACACTCCACCTTCTGAGGGGAGGATTTCAAACAATTTGAGGATATGTTTTAGGACTACCACATGTTAAAAGAAAATGTATAATAGCAGTACAAAGGACAGAGGTGGAAAAGGGAAGTATGCAATTGTAAGTGCCTTATACTGGGTGTGAAGTGGTATTATATTATGTGAAGGCAGACTGTGATAAGTTAAAGCCATACGTTGTAAACCTTAGAGAAGGCACTAGATTAAAAATATGTGGCTAATAAATCAATAGCAGGGATAAAAATGGATCCACAAAGATGCTCAAGTAATCAATTAGAAGGCATCTAAAGGAGGAAAAGGAAAAAGCAGAAAGGACAGATAGAAAGAGATATCTAGATGGTACAATTAAACCCAATCACATCAGTGATTAAATTAAACATACAGGACTAAACTCTCAAAATAAAGCCAAAGATCGTTAGCTTGGACTTCAAAAGTAAAACTAACTAGATGCCGGCTACGAGAAGTACACTTTAAATTACATCTATATTAAAAGTAAAAGGATGGAAAAATAAATATCATCAAAAACGAATCAAAGCTGAAATGGCTACATTAAGGTGAGATGAAATAAATTTCAAAACAAGGAATATTTACTGGGAAGAAGGAAATTTCATGATAAAGGGGTTAATTCACTTTGTAAAAATCCTAAATGTGTAGGCATCTAACGTGAATCTACTGACGGATCTAAAATATATTATGCCAATAGGTGTAGAACAAAGACAGAAATGGATACGCCCACAATTATAATCAGAGATTTTAGCATTCTCTTCAGAAACTTCTGGAACAGGGAGAAATAAACCAGTAAGGACAGAGAAGCCTTGAAGAACACTGTCCCTAAGCTGACCTCACTGACACTTAGGGAACACCCCACCCAGTGACAGCAGAATAAGCATTTTTTTCTAAGTACAATCAAACCCTTATGAAGAGAGACTATATTAAGTGGCAAATAACCACTACGAAGAGCAGGAGTGTGCAAGCAAGTGGCCGATGCCTCTTTTTGTAAGCAAAGCTTTTCTGGAACACAGACATTTTCACTGTTGATGTAACATCTATGGCTGCTTTTGCACTTTGGTGGCAGAGTCATACGGTAGCACCCGGGGATAGATATGAGCCCGTCAAGCCTAAGCTCTTACCATCTTGTCCTCTACAGAAAAAGTTTACTGACCCTTGTTTCAGAAGATGAAAATCATATGATCATGTTCTCTGATAACAGAAGTAATTTATAGGTCAATAACAGATTCTTAGAAAAATCCCCCAAATATTTGAAAGTTCAATAACACATTTCTATATAATGCATAGGTCAAAAAAGAAATCACACACTAGAGTAGAAAATATTTAATTGTTTCAACATTACTTATTTTTGAGAGACAGAGTGTGAGCAGAAGAGAGGCAGAGAGAGAGAGAGACAGAGAATCCAAAGCAGCCTCCAGGCTCTGAGCTGTCAGCACAGAGCCCAATGTGGGGTTTGAACTCATGAGTCACAAGATCATGACCTGAGCCAAGTTGGACGCTTAACCGACTGAGCCACCCAGGTGCCCCTAAAGTAGAAAATATCTTAAACAGAATGAAAATGTAAACACATTATACGAACACACGTAGAATACAAATAAAACAGTATTTAGAGTTCATTAATGGCATCAGACGCTTATATTAGCAAAGAAGAAATGATCTCAAATCACTGATTCCACCTTCAGAAACTAAAGGAAGACAAAATAAATCTAAAGTGAGCAAAAAGAAGGAAATACTAACCACGAGAATGAACATCAAAGAAAAAAATAGGAAAACCAGTAGAGAAAAATCAATGAAACTGAAAGCTAATTTTTTCAACAAAAGAAATTGGTAAAACTCTGGTCAGACTGTTCTGGAAAAAATAAGGAGAAAGAAACTTCCAAATTGTTCTGAAATAAAGGAGAAGTTGTCATTATACATTCTATATTCCTTAGAAGGCTCGTAAGGGAATATTATAAACAGTTTTTAAAACAAACTCAGGAGCCCCTACGTGGCTTAGCTGGTTAAGCATCCAACTTCAGCTCAGGTCATGATCTCAAGATCCATGAGTTTGAGCCCCGTGTCAGGCTCTGTGCAGACAGCCCCTGCTTGGGTTTTTGTGTCTCCCTCTCTCTCTGTCCCTCCCCCACTTACACTCTGTCTCTCAAAAATGAATAAATGTTAAAAAAATTTAAAATAAACTCAGAAACTTAGGGAAGACGGACGAATTTGTTGCATGCCCAACCTACCAAAGGTAAAGAAGAAATGGATAGAGAACCTGATACCCTTGCACACTGTTGGTGAGATTACGAAATTATACAACTAGTTAGGAGAACCATCTGGAAACCTTGTATAATGTCAAGCAAACATCTGTGGCCAGTCTGGCAACCACACTCTGGGTATCTCCTCGGGGGAGATGAAAACATATCACTACATGAAGCCTTGTATGCAAAACTCACCTCAGTTTTATTCATTTTGGCCAAGTCCCAGAAAAATCCAAGCGTTCATGAACTGGTGAATGAATGGACAGCAGGTAATATACCCACAAAATGGAGTAGTACTCGGTTAAGAAAAGGCATTAATGATAGGTATGATTTCACCATATTCTAGATAGTCATCTCTACTGTAGTAACAAAAAGAACATCAGTGGCTGGCAGAGACCTGGTCGGCATGGGAGGGTTTTGACTGCATAGTAAAGGAAATTTCTGGAGTACGAGAATGTTCCATATGATGATTGTGGTGGTAATTATACCAGCATACACACGTGTCCAGATTCATCAAATTATACATTAAAGGTGGTGGACTCTGATGCACATATATTACACCTCAGTCAAAGTGACTTTAAAAAAATGAGAAATTCCCAGTTAATGGAGAGAGAAAGCCCAGAGTGACACAGGCGGCCCCCAGCGTGTCGTGAGTCAGTGTATCAGAGTGAGGCTGGGCCGAGGGGCACAGCCCTGAGGGGACCCCGCCCCTGGCCAGCAGGGTGGGGGGGGGGACGTCGGATGGGTGAGCAGAAGAAGCCGCCAGGTTGCCGAGGCTTCGTAAGAGAATAGAGAACATCTTCGATGCATCAGACTTCAGATCCTGCCAGAAAAAGGCAACGCAATTCAGTCATTGATCAACAAATAAAAATTACAAATAACATCAGTTTATTGTATTAAGCAAATTTCTCCCCTGCAAAGGCATATTAGATGGCGTCCTGTGTCCTAGACAAATGAAGGCGCTTAACCCCCCCCCCCCCTCCGGTGCTTCTAAACGTACATCCACCCGGGACGCGGACGCTGTTCCTAGAAAAAGAACTCTGAGCAGAAATCCTCAGCGGGTGAAGGCGTCGTTCAGAATTTCCTGATTCGGGTAAGTCCCTTTCCAGGGCTTGTTGTGCTCAGTCTCGCTGAGAATTGCTGCTGTAGGACAGTGCTGACACTCGTGCGAATTAATCCCGCAGGTGTGCGACAAAGGCAGCCCTGAGGACCCCTGTACCCTGCGGCTTGGAGAGCCGACTCTACGCGGCGGTTTATTCAGCGGCTCGGACGCCCCGGCGCGTGGGTGACCGCGTGGCCGGGCGGTAACGAGCCAGGGGCCGGGAGACTCTCAGGTGGGACCGCAGGTGGGAGGGGGAGCGGCGACCAAGCCCCAGGGGCAGGGCCCGGGAGGTCCCGAGGGCGTGAGCGGCGCCCGGAGCAGCAGCGGACGCGGCCCCCCGCCGGGCGGTGCCCCGTGCTGGGCGCTGCGGCTGAGACCCGAGGCGCCGCCGCCCAGAAGGACGTGGGCCTTCGCTGCCGTGAGTCCCGAATAAGGGCCGTTTCCCCCAGCGCGGAAGCTGCGCTGCCCGCCGCGCCGGGCATCCCACCCGCCGGCGTCTGAGACCAGCTCTTCTGGAGGAAGAGCGTGGAAGGCCGTGGCGGGGGGTGTCGGGGGCAGGGGCGCGGCTGCAGAGCCGCGGGTGACAGCAGCGGGTCACCGGTCGCCTGGAGCCCCGGGTCGGTGAGGCCGCTGGGGCCACGCGCTCCTTGGTGCACGTCGGGGACCCACCCGCGGACGCCGAGGGCGGCCGGCTCCCTCCTGTGCTCCCCCCGCCGGACCCCCCACCCCCGGGTGAGGAAGCCCTGCGGGGCCCGCCAGGGGCAGGGCAGGGGCAGGGGCAGGGCAGGGCAGGGCAGGGCAGGGGCAGGGCAGGGGCGGGGCAGGGCAGGGCAGGG